GCACCAAAAAATACCGGTAAGAACCGATTAATTTATATCGGTTCCGGTTCTGCCTGTTTTACGACATTTATATGAAATATGGGTTTCGTTTCGGTTCCGGTCCGCAAAAAAAAAACGGTTCCGTTCCGGTGTTCGGTTCAATATCGTTCCGGTCCGGGTCCCAGATTTCAAGCCGAACTGCTTACCGTAATAGTATATTACAAACCGAGACGGAAAATGCTTCATTGCTGATCAAGAAGTTTTATATAGGTAGTTTATCGAGACGCGTAGCGTCGAGATAAACTAAACCTCGAGAAAGCAATGAAGTTTTCCGTCGAGGTTTGTATAAGTGTGTTTTTTTCAAGATAAAAGTCAAAATGACATTATGTTGGCAATACAATGTAAAATTGTCAATGCTTTCAAATTTTTTATGTAGAAAAGGCTTGTGTTGCCAATATAGTTACTAAATTTTTGACTTGGGGAATTTATCTTTAAAAAAAAACCAGACTTTACTATTTTATTTTCAACCCTCAATTTCTGAGGCAAAAGATTTTATCTTATGAAATAATAGTGTGAATTGGCCTTAGAAATAACCAGCTCTCACTTTTTTTTTCGTCATCAATTTTGACAAAAAAAACCAGCAGGGAAATCGGGACGAAAACGCATTTTTCCGTCCGTGGTAGGCATTTACATTGCCGTCCTGGAAAAATGTGAAATTACAGAAATGTGACACTTTCAAGATTTTAAAAAGTCTCACGTCAACATTACATATACGGTTGAAAATAAACATATACCTATGTGCACAAGAGTGTCTCAACCAAAGCTCAAAGGAAAACACATCCTCATACTATATCATTACTATCAGATAGCAAAGCTACCTTAAAAGCCTTTATGGCTATTTGCACGACTATCACTTAAGGGATATTTAATCTAAGTGGAGCTTTGAATGTGACTTTTGTTTCTCTGATGGCCGTTTGCACCGACCATTTTGAGGAAGCCTTAGCGATAAGTATGCCTTAAAGTGACATTTTTCCATGTGAAAATGTCATTTTAAGGAATACTTATAGCTAAGGCATCCTAAAAATGGTCGGTGCAAACGGCCATGAGTCACATTTAAACCTCTACTGGGATTAAATAGGTATCCCTTAAGTTGTAGCGGTGCAAATAGCCGTTAAGGGCTTTCAAATCCACCTCATCAAAACTAGTCTGGAAGTGTAAACAGACCCTAAAAACGTTAGCGACACACAACACAACACAGAGCCGCTTTCCAGTGATGAATTTCAAGATGCTCCACTCCCGTAGCTTCACACTCTGGTGCTCCAAACAACTGGGTTGCGTTTAGAAGTGTAGCGCTCTGGGTGGTAAGAGTGACCCTAAAGTAACTTATAAGCCGTTCTGGGTTGAAAAACGCCCCGCGGTTTTTACCAGGTTTGACGTATTTTTACATTATTGACATTAGAGAGATATTGCGAGTGCTTGTCTTATTAAGGCAAGCCTTATTCCGACAGCTGCGCATGCGCAGTTTTCGTTTGGAATAAGGACACCCTTATTAAGGATTAGCATCTGCCTTATTTAGGAAAAAATAAGACCTGCCTTATCTTTGCCTTATTTAAAAGTTCTTAGTCGATCGGCGATGATCAGTAGGAATTGCGAATTGAGTTGCCAGACTATATAGTCTGGCTAGTGGTAACTTGGTAGAGACGAAAGGGGGAAGAAAAATGGGGCCTAACCAAAAAATATTCACTGACACCTCGATTGACACCGCCTGATGACAGCCATGTCTTTGGGTTCAGTGGCACCGAAAACACCAAGGAAATAAACCAATAAAATTATTCGGAAAAAATTCTCTAGTTTCGCCAATAACCACGCCACTGCGTGCTGTCGTTCAGGCTCTAACCAATAGAATCATGCTTCTGAATAATCACGCCTCTCTGCTTCCATCTTTTCGCAATGTTGCCGGATTTTTTTCTATTTCGAACTTTTTTCAAAATACTACACATGCCCATATAGTTAAAAAAAATATAGCACCAACGTGTTTATTATTGTTTCCGTCAAGTTTGGCAAAGCAGCAAATTCTATTGCAGTTCGCCATTTCGCTAGCCAGACATACACTTTTTAATATTTTATCCCATTTTGACGTTTAAAAATGACATTATTGAACGCATAACAATAAAGGTAAGTAGACATTTATCACCTCAGGGATTTAAAAACATTGTATTTACGACTAATGTATAATGTGCGTATTATATTTGTGATTTTGGCAGTATAATGACATATGTTATTCCTCCAGGGATTAATGACGAGTAGCGGGATTAATGGTCATTATTCCACAAAAGTGTCAGTGTCAAACGTGTAGTGCTTGTGGATTTGTATTGAAAATTATGAGACGGATGAAATTTGTTCATTGAAAATCTCAAATAAATTAATTTATCGTAAATAAAGTAGAGTATACTACTCGCAATAATGGCTATTATTCCCTCGGAATGTTACTCCCTCGCCGCTAACGCGGCTCAGTTCGTAATAATCCTCGGGAATAATAGCCATCATTATTGACTCGTGGTATAATCTACTATTAACTCACTCTCGGCATTTTAAGTCACTCTGCCCAACTAAAAATCTGAAACCTCAGTGATTTAAAATATTTTTAACTCACTCCCGGAATTTTTTCTTCTGCTTTTTTTTTTTTTAAAGCCACAAAATGGGATAATAGTTATTTATACACCAAGTGAGTTAAATGAATGTTTATTCATGAGAAGAAAGTTTAACCCGCGAGCCCTAGCGAGTGGGTTAATTTTCTTCGAATGAATAAACATTTTAACTCACGTGATGTATACAAAATTTTATCCCATTTTGATGGACATTTAAAAAATTCAGTACTCAATAGGAATCAAATTATAAAAAGAATTCATTCAGCGAGCGCTAATGTCTATAGTCTGGCTAGTGGTAACTTGGTAGAGACGAAAGGGGGAAGAAAAATGGGGCGTAACCTAAACATATTCACTGACACCTCGACTGACACCGGCTGATGACAGCCATGTCTTTGGGTTCAGTGGCACCGAAAACACCAAGGAAATAAACCAATAAAATTATTAGAAAAAAGATTCTTTAGTTTTTAATAGCCACGCCACTGCTCGCTGTCGTTCAGGCTCTAACCAATAGAATCATGCCTTTGAATAATCACGCCTCTCCACGTCTATCATTTCGCAATGTTGCCGGATTTTTTTCTATTTCGACCTTTTTTTAAAGTACTACACTTGCTCATATAGCAAAAAAAATATGGCACCAACTTGTTTATAATTTTTTCCGTCAAGTTTGGCAAAGCAGCAAATTCTATTGCAGTTCGCCGTTTCGCTAGCCAGACTATAATGCCTATTGAAACTGGTAGTTGCTAGGATATTGCTAGTTTTTTGTTTGTATTTGTAGCAGATTTTTGTACTGGCAGAGTGATTTAAAACAGCGAGAGTGAGTTAAAAATATTTTAAATCACTCAGGTGATAAACGTCTACTTACCTTTGTTATTATGCGTTCAATAATGTCATTTTTAAACGTCAAAATGGGATAAAATTTTGTATACATCACGTGAGTTAAAATGTTTATTCATTCGAAGAAAATTAACCCACTCGCTAGGGCTCGTGGGTTAAACTTTCTTCTCATGAATAAACATTCATTGAACTCACTTGGTGTATAAATAACTATTAAGTAACTTGTATACAAATGCCTGTTTTAATTATTTTCAATTTATTGCTATCTATTAAATCAGAACTTTAAATATTGGAGATTTAATTAAAATTAGATTATTTGATTTAATTTAAATTTTCCAGTTCAGTTATTATTTGAGAACTTTGAAATTTTCTATTTTATTTACTTACTTGGTTTAAACAATTCTAGTTTTGTTTCACTCAACCGTTTTATATTTTAATTTCTATTTGATATTAAGATTTTTGATAACATAATTATTATTAGGCAGTGGCGCACCCATAAAACATGTTTGAGGGGGGCCCTACATAGGTTGTGTCTTGTAACTGAAACTCTAAAAAAAAAAAAATTGAGGTATCAGGGTGCCACACCCAAAATTTGCCACATTTTTTTATACGTAAGAATACAGTTTTGAAGGGGCGGCCTGGGAAAGGGCCCTGGCCCGATGGTGTGCGTCACTGTCCAGGAAAGCTGGGAAACTTTGGAAAATGAAGAATTTCTTGAAATATCCAGAAACTTTTGAGCTTCAAATGTACTAAAATTTGATTGAAAACAACCCAAAGATAGCGAAGTTACGAATTTTTAAATCCCAGAGAGACACTGTGATATTTGTACAATACAAACTATGGCCTGATTTTTTATTTTTTTCCTAGAAATCTGGGAAACTTTGGAGAATGAAGAATTTTTTTATATATCCAGAAACTTTTTACCTTTTACATACCAAAACTAGATTGGAAAAAAAACAAAGATAGCAGAGCAGCTACGATTTTTTAATCCCTAAGAGACACTAGTGATATTTTGACAATACAGATTATGGCCTGATTTTTGATTTTTTTCCAGGAACAATGGCGCACCCAGAAAATATATTTGGGGGGAGGAAGGCCCTACGTAGGTTGTGTATTGTAACTGAATATCTAAAAAAAAATTGAGGGGAGTCAGGGTACCAAGCCCTGAATTTGCTACATTTTTTTATACCTACGTGAAAATAAAGTTTTGTAAGGGCGGCCTGGGGGGGGAGCCTGGCCCGATGCCCCCCCCCCCTGGGTGCGCCACTGTTATTAGGAGGTTTATGAACAAATTTGGGAAAAACTTTATCAGGATTTAATCTTGATTAAAATAATTCTTGAAACTACCTACTTCTCATTGAATTCAAAATATCATGTAAACCTATTGATAGCTACTTTATAATAAAAATTTACTTTTATTTTCAGAGATTTCAAGTCCTTGTAAATTATTGCTTCATTTTTCTAGTTCGTTAAAACTGTATGATTTTCTCTCTGTTTCTCTAGACTCTAGAACCTTAAGAAAAATAAAAACACCAAATTTTAGTAAATAAATGTATATTCACAGAATGTATCAGGCACATCATAACAAAAAAAATAAACAAAAAAATAAATAACATTCTACAATGTTTTAAGAAAAAAATCACTAATCAAGTTTCTCTTTTACAACAATAATACTACGTTCTGAATAGATATAATGGCCGTTTCATGTAAAAATTTATTTTTGTAAATAATAGCATCAACATACTCTTCATATTAATAAATTTTTCTTAGCCTTAAGGGTTTAAAAATAACTAGTTAACTTTTATCTATTCACAATATTTAAACTAAGAACCGATATTATTTCTAAATTTTTTGTTGGTAAAGCGGAAAGAAAATTCATCTGTAGATTTTTTCATGTCTTCAAGGGTTTTCAGACAAAAAAATGAAAATTGAAAGAGGAAAAAGTTGAAAAATAAGGAAAGTCAAGATTATTACATGAATCGGCCTTTAAGTCTCTAAAAACTTTGTAGGTAGGTACTAGGCAGAGCCCTATTTTAACCAATAATAAAGAAATTTACAAAAAAAATAGCTTTGTTGTGAAATTTAAAATACTATACTATAATTAATATCAATTATTAAGTACACTATGTTACAAAATGTTGGTTATAAAAAAGATTTGAAAAATTTCGCAAGGGAAGTAGGTTAAAAATGGGAAAGGTAAATAGTAAAAATACATGGATGGACTTTTTCACTTGAATAGTCTACAATAATTGGAACAGGACAATAAGATAAAATGTGGAATCCAATCTGTAATCGCGTTACAGTTTGCAAAGAAAATACATATTTTTGTATTGATATTGAAAAATAATCCACAAACTTAAAAGTACAAAATTATTTCCGGTTTGTTGGTAGGTAACAATAGATGGTTTAAATTAATCAACAAGGAGAATTATCAAAAGTTTACTGATTTTCGAAATTACATCGAAGAACCAAATTTTAAACTTTAACATGGTATTCATCCTTATTCTTTTTTTTCAACCACATTTTTTCAAAATGAAAACTGTATTCTCTTGGCAAAATTTCCAAAAATGAACAAAAATATGATTATTGTAACATGGTCCTTATAACATGATCATCATTTGCATTAAAAATAGCTTTATTTGGTTCCTACAAAGCCTATCCGAAATCAATTTGCATTCTTACATCAAAAAACAATGACAAAGGGAGGTAAATTTAACAATATAATATTATAAAATCTTTCAATAAAATATAGATACAAATATAAATTACAATAAGTACAAATTTGTAACATTCTACTACATACAGCCACTTTTCTAATTATAAAAAAGTTCATTTTTCACAAAAAAACAAAAAAACATCTTCATGAAAGTAAGGCTTAATTGACAACAACAAAAATTTCTTCATTCAAAATTATTCCTTAAAATGGTATAAACGAATAAGATCGTTAACAATCAGATTAAAAGTTAAGGCAAGAAAAACATGTCACTTAAAAAAATAAAAGGAAAAATAATAATAAAAATATAAAAGCATGCATGAATATTCTCTGTTAATAGTCCTTTTTGTGCGATCTAATTGTAGTAATAAGGCAAGCATGATTTTTTTGAGAACATTTTTCTAACAACTGATAAATTTTAGAACTTAGTATGTCTCAGATAAATTAGAAATTTGATTTCAGACATTTTTAGCATATTTTGAATATTGTGTTTTTTTTTTAATTGAATACCTATCAAAATGTTGATACAAAACCTGCCCCGAGAGTAGGAACATATTATTTTAAAGCCTCTTTTTATAGTTAAAATTTATATTATTGCTTTGACAATGGTAAAAAATATGAGCTTCAAAATAATAATCCTTACCCCGTTTGTTATGAATGTGCGCTAAATAGGTACAAACCTAAAAATTATTGAGCATTCTTAATAATAAAGCTAACTAAAAAAAAAACCACAGCACTATAAGTGAGGGTCCTAAGCGAGATCGTTAACAAAATAATAATCAAAGGAACATCTCACCTCTTTTCAAATTAATTTGACATTGAAACACAAAACTTTATATTGCTGGACAGCCTAAACGGTCGATGTTTATTCATGTTTTCCTAATATTAAAGCTTAAAAAAATTTAATTGGGATCGGGGTGCTGATTCTATTTGCCAGAGGGTGGGAGGCCACTGAATTTGTTCACCCTGAAACAAATCAAATATACCTACCTATGATTAAACTGCTGGAAAATTACTTTCGAACAAAAGGAAAATTTCGCCTAAGTTTCAAGATCGATATTTTGGGAACTAGAATATCGACCTCTGGTTTCCATAAGCAATTTTTTTCACCAAAAGTCGATCTGTCAGCCCGTGGAAACTGGAGGTCGATATGTGGTGGGGTTCCGAAAATATTGAGCTTGAAAGAAAGGCCAAAAAATTTGCTTGCTCGAAAGCAATTGTCCAGCAGTTCAGTTAACACTAGAATGAAAATTGCAAATGGATGAAGTTGACAGTAAGGGATAAAGGAGTTAGAATGCGCTACAACTTTGCCTCAAAGAAAACCAACGCAGTGAAATCTGTATAATTTCAGAATATAATATGCCAGATTTAGATTACAAATTTTAATACTTCAAATGTGTGTGTGTGTTTCAAACTTACTTACTTGGGCTTCCGGCCTTTATAGTTGCTATAAGATCGATTCTCGACACCCTGCATGCTGAATGGTCTACCTTGGATTATGGGTGGCGTAGGCTGTCTATAAACGTTGGGCTGTCCTCTACCAATCAGACGGGGGTCTGCTAGAAAAAAATATTGTACCATTTAAAAATATTAAAAATGTAGGTATTGTACAGGGTGTCCGAATTTGGATGGTTTTAATAGGAAACATCAATTTCTGAGCAAGATACAAAAAAATGAACCCCCCACTCCGAGGCTCAAATTTCATGAATTTTTGATTGGTGCAAACCGCATTTTGATATCTTCAACCGTTTAGCCGCTAGAGGGCGATTCTCGATTTTGAGCAATAATGTGAAACCATCATAACCAATCATAACTTTTTTGTTTATGAAAATTATTGATTTCCGTAAAAATTTTCTAAAAGCACTTTTTCAAGCAAAATTCAGTGACGTTCTCAGTTTTTTTCTAGTTGGTCCCAACTCCGAGATATTGACCAAAGTCTGGTTTTTTTCAATAGGACACTCTATATATTAATAGCACATTAGAAAGCTCGGCTTTTTCTGATTTCAATGATATAAAGTTCGATAGGTTTATCTCTAATAGTTTTCGAGAAAAAAAATTATTTCGGTTTTTGTCATAAGAAGTAATGTGTAAGAAAAGGACAAGGTCTGTTTCTGACTCATTGTTTCTTATGACAAAAGCCGAAATATTTTTTTTTCTCAAAAACTGTTAGAGATAAACCTATCGAAATTTTTATCATTGAAATCAGCAAAAGCAGAGCTTTCTAATGAGCTATTAATATATAGGGTGTCCCATTGGAAAAAATAGGATTTTGGTCAAAATCTTGAAATCGAGGCCCAATAGAAAAAAACTGAAAACCTCAGTGAATTCTGCTTGAAAAAGTGCTTCTAGGAAGTTTTTACAGAAATCAGTTATTTTTATAAACAAAAAAGTCATGAAGATTTCACAGTATTGCTCAAAATCGAGAATCGCCCTCTAGCGGCTAAACGGTTGAAGATATCAAAATGCGGTTTGCACCAATCAAAATTTCAAGAAATCCGGGCCTCGGAGTGGGGGGTTCATTTTTTTGTATCTCGCTCAGAAATTGACGTTTCCTACTAAAACCATCCAAATTCGGACACCCTGTACAGTTTAAAATAGCAACACTGTTTTTTTAAATTTCTTTAATTAATTTCACCACTTTTTCACTGTTTTCTTCAGACAGAGGTTCTGCGTTTTGCAGAGAGTTTTCCATTAATTGGTACTTTGGTTTTTGTTCTTCTACCCAATAATAATTGGCTTGGTAAATGTACCAGCTACAAAGGAGCACGAAAACAATAAACAAGAAAAACACCCATGTTCTAAAGAATAGGATTTTTTCTAAGGAGGTTCTTGAACCTGTTCCAGACCTGAATTACAAAAATCAGGCATTATAATATGCTGTCCTAAGATCCGCTGGTTACGACACAATTGCAGCAATATCTGTAAAACTGAAACCTTGGAAATGGTATTTGCAACCTGGCAGTCACAAACTTTTGGAAGTGGCACAAAACAATTTGAGTGTTGTTAAACACTAAGTAATGAACAGCTTGTAAGTGCTCTACCCACTCACATCAGAGCTGCTATCAGGAATTCCGAGAGGAAACGTCAATCTCACAGATTGAAGAATTAATTAAGGGCAACATACTAACTTGAAAAACATCTACACAGTCACAAATGACAACTGGTGGGCAGCAAGAGCCAAGGAACTGCAGATGCTTGCCTATATTCACCAAACCGGAGTCTTCTATAGAAAACTCCAGCAGGTGTGTGGACCTAACAGACAAAAGTTGTCCCTATGAATTCCAGCGACAGAGTCTCACAGACAAAAACGATCTCATAGAGCGTTGGCTCGAGTACTTCAACTCCTTGCTCAACATGGAGCACAGCACACATGCAATTTATAAACTCTTTGTCTGATTCAGATCTTTCCGTGGCACTCTAAGATCCAGAAAAACATGGTAAATCACCAGGTAGTGACGGAATACCCCCTGAAATCTACAAAGAATACTTGAAAGCCCTAGAAGTCAAGTTGCAGTCATGCAAAATGTGGGAAACGGAAATTTTCCCCTAGAATTCAAATTGTTCACCATATGCAAGCTATGTAATGGCAAGGGTAGCGTTTCAGATTGCGACTCCTACAGAGGGATATCTCTTCTCAATATAGCTAGTAAAATCTTAGCCAGAGTTCTTCTGAATCGCCTGCAGCCTCTTGCAGAAAAAATCCTTCCGGAATCTCAATGTGGGAAGAGGAACGACTGACGTCATATGTTCCATCTATCAATTAGCCTTTCCAAACCACGTGATTTTTCAATATGACGTCTGTGGGAAAATTGGCGTTTTTTGTTTATGTTGAGTTTTTTTTGGAATATTTTTGAGCTAATTACAGTTCACTTTGTTATAATATACCTACTTTTCGAGATGAAGAGTAAATATTTAAAGACTTTAATGCAGGAAAATCGGGATGTGGGCGAACGGTAAGTTTGAAAAAATGTCGAAATAGTTGATATTTGTTTACATTTTTACCTACAGTTTTTACAGCAATAAGCAAATAAAGTCCTACATCAGCTTAGATTCTTACAAGTATTTCGATTATGGCTTTATTTTGCAACGCAGCATGCAGGAACAGTGGTACTGAATAATTTTCACGTTTTAATTGGACAAGTTTAAAACGTTGGGCACTGAAAAAAACTTGACATCATCCTTGTTAAAACGACATCCACAATCAACTACAAGACACCTTTCTGTCATTTTTAATTGGAAAAAACACTTATGAAGTCAATAAAATAAAAAAATAAATACAGTTCAGTCACAAAACTACCACACAATGCACTTTAAAAAACATTAAATTCTGTACTCTTATGTAGGGATAATGAACTTCCGTTCTCGACGGTTTAAAAATGATTTCATTGGTTCCAGCTGTTATTTTGACGCCTCATGAACAAACCTCATGTAATCACAATCAGCTTGTTCAGATCGAAAGAATACTACGAATAATCGAGTGTAATTTAAACCTCAAAAGTTTAGTTTGACGTGCCACTTTTAAAAATATTCTCTAAGGGGCATTGAACGTTTTGGAGGGTATTTTAACTTATTTACTATCCATTGTTCATATTCAGTATCTTGCCTTCTACTCCTTAACAAGTTTCAAAACTATTGACATTTACTGCCAAAATTGAAAGCACTCCAAGTTCACTCGCGCCCTCTACAAAATTTTAGAGAACTTGACCGGATATTTGCTGCCGTCGACCTTGGGCCGGTTTTTCAATAGCGAGTCACCTCTCTTTGGGTTGATTTTAACTTCAGGGTAAGCGTGTCAAGTTGCTATGTTCACCTTGGAGTTATGCTTAACCCGGGGGTGACTTGCTATTGAGAAACTGGCCCCTTGAGAAAGCATTTGACATACGAAACAATGTGAATATGTACTGAAGAAGCTAGGCTGTCCAGAGAAATTCCTCTAGAATTCCACAAAGAAATGAACAAAAATCGCAAAAATTGGGAGACCTAACCTCGAAGTTTAAACGTTTTGTTATGCTTAAGTGGAAAACTCGCGGAAAAAGCTGTTTTTGTGCAAAAAAAAGTAGATTGGACATGACGACACCAGCACACAGCATCAAAGTGTTTGAAGGAATAACCTACTCAAACTGGGAGTGTAGAGTAAGATTGTTGCTGGAGCACCATGGTGTGCCTGAAGTTGTTGATCAAGACCCACCCACGATTGCACAGGGTAGTTACGTAACATAAAATACTGTAGAGATTACAGAAATTTTAATCAAGAAATAACAACCAACCCAAGAAAGACCATCAACTGAACATCGAAATCTACAAATATATTGAAAGTCAATACCCTTCCTCCGAGATGACCGACGAAAGCAATTGACTAATACATTGGAATGCCACTAAAAGCAAAAAGTTCATAAACCTTTTTTTTAAGTGCTTTCAGCAATTAACATTCCAACGTATCCGAGATTCCTAAAGACTCCATAAATCATACGCACGAGCCTATATGATGATACCGCACTTAACAAAACCACTTAGCGACGCCCTTGATAATTAATTAAAAGGGGACCAAATACACTAATTGATCGGATGATTCAACCACGTTAAAATTGAGGCCAGAGAAAACAAAGAGCTTCAAGACAATGGGAGATCCACGATATAAAAGGCGACTTTTGCAGGAGAAGACCAGTGGTCGGTAGAGAGCGATTGTACTGAGAAGAACCAGTGTTCGGTAGAGAGTCAAGTAGACGATATACAGATAGTCCAGTGAACGGTCAAGCTTTAAACAAGAAAGAGTTTAATTCAAGAGTCGAGCATCCAGTGACATAGAAGACAACAAAGCCAGAAATTACGTCGAACTACGGTAGTGAACAAGAGAAGAAAGTCGCCGCGAAATAAGGCTATAACGAGGCAGCGCGAAAATATTCCAGTTTTATTAAATGCTCATGAGTAACGTAAATTCCATCGACCTATAGAAACCCCGGTAATTAAGTTTGTACCATCAGTAGATATAACTCAAATCAATCTGTAAGTAACCTGATTAGTTTTATGTCAGGCTAGGATTGTATTGTCTAGAAATTGTACAGGGTTGTAAATTTGGCAAGAGTGCAAGGTCTAGTCAAACTGTGAATTAAACTTCATTTTGAAGATATATTTTGGGGAAAAACTTTGCTTGAATAATTTATAGAGAAATTTTGACAAAATAAACGGTTAGGTATTTAGAGAAGAATTTATTGTAAGATTTATCACCGACGCCTGTGTTTACCAAGTTTTTTTTTTATATATATATAAACATTATTTTAATTGACCACCATATTTCTGTGTTTTACTCTCACACCCGCAAATAGGACCTTCGCATCAAATTGTGTCTCCACTCAGAAACTTAAGCCACCGCTCGCCAACTTAACATCATAAAAAGTTTCTGAACTTGGGGTCTCACAATACAATACAATAAGTACATTATACAGTTTGAATGTACCATTTCAGAATTAAAGAACGCCTGGAGACCCGACCAGAGTGTTGTGACGGCTCTTGATGTTCTGTTTTGTCAAAACAATAGTGTGACCCATGAAATTTGTCAAGA